CCTCTCGATCCCCTTTCTGTCACCGCTCTTCGTCGTCCGATTCCGGCGGCCATGTCTAGTGGGCTCTAGTGCCGAGGTAGCACCTATAGCTCCCTCTCTCGCTACCCTATCTCTATACCCATTTGTTGTGGTTTCATTTGATTTGCATTGCTAGGCTTTCGGTGACGGCAACGGAAACGATGAGGTACTAGGGTTTCGGTTTGGCACGACATCAACTACAAATCATTGGTGAGTTCATCCCCTCCACCTTCTTTCTCTTCTCTACAAAATTATTAGTGAGTTCATACCCTCCCGGTTTGATTTGCATCGCTAGGGTTTCTGTTTGGCAGTAAAGTGAGTAGCCAAAATTAGTTCGACCGAGTTGGCAAAATTAGGAGTTTGAATAGATGGTTAATTTGTATGGCAGTGCTCGGAAGTGCCATGTGTTTGTATGGTTGTGCTAGATAATTTGAATATATGGATAACTGAATTTGTAGATTTGTTATGAGTTGTAGTTTTTATGATTTGTGTGGCAGTGCTAGATAATTTGAATATATGGATAGTTGAATTTATAACTGAATTTATACATTTGTTATGAGTTAGAGTTTGAGTTGGAGTTGTTATGAATTTCTACATTTGTATGACAGTGCTGGGAAGTGCCATCATATACACTACATGGTTTTGACAACTTCCAAATTTGTAATTAAATTTTAGATATGAGTTAGAGTTGCATTGCTACATTCGTTATGAGTTGGAGTTGGAGTTGTTATGATTTGGAGGGGAGACAAATAAACAAATTCTATATATGAAAACATCCACGGAGGGAGACATAAATAAACAACTCCTAGAGCCAAACACCTCAAAGTACTATAGTATTCTTGGCATACTTTAAAAATACTTTGCTACAGGACACAACATTATTTATTTGCCTAACAAATTAAAGTGCATCAGGTCATGACCAATTCTGGAGGCAACAAGGAGGAGGTATACGATATGTAGATGCTCAATCAAGATCTGTTAGAGACTCATCAGTATACCATCAAGAGCCCGGAACAGGTGAATGCCCCGCTAAAGGCGGAGAGGGGTCATCTGGTGAACGAGAGTGCCAATCTCTTCAGGAAGAGTAATAAGCTGAGGGACAAGAGGGATAACCTGATCGAGGAGAGGAATAAGCTGAAGTAGGAGAGAAAACTTTTTAGGGCGGAGAGGAATGAGCTTAAGATCGACATAGCTCATTTCAGAAAAGACGGAGAGAGCAATAGAAAGAAGATTTGCCAGCTGAAGCTAATCCTTGATCAAGAGTAAAATATTTAGTTTTGTGAAGTTGAATTATGTAGTACTTTAACTAGCTAGTTATTTTTGTGAAGTTTAACTTGTTAAGTTGATGAGTATCTATTGAATTGTGTAGTTCTGTAACTAGCTAGTAACTTTTGTGAAGTAGAATTGTTTAGTCTGTGAGGTAGAATATTTTTTATTAGCAAAATATCAATTTGTTGGCGTCGGCCAACAAGGCACGACAGTGGTAAGATACTCTTCCTGCTGGCGTTGTCCACGTGGCATGCCATCAACATGTAGAATATTGATGACGTGGGCTCCAATGCCACCACTATTTTTTTTAACAATGGCGCCATATTGATGGTGTCGGGTGTCCATGCCGGTAAGACCATTTTTGCCACGCCATAGCTAGGCTTTTCTACACTAGTACAGAGTCTAATATGTATTTTGAGATTATTTTGACCATCACTTAGAACAATAATATATGACACATGTGTTAGAAAAAGTATGCCGCCATGTTCATATTTGAAAATAGTTTCTAATGATATAGTTTGTACACCATACATCTTAAATACTCCCTCCATTCCCTTATACAACACCACTATAAAAAATACATTTTACATCTATACAAGGCCACTAACAGTAATCGAGGCAAAAATTAATGATGTTTCCTTATACTAGCAACTTATTTAATATTTGCATGCATGTAGTCATTAATGACATTGTGCTACTTCCTTCTCATTCCTTTCTTTCATGCATGCGGGCGTATTAATGATTCCGGTTAACAGAAAAAAAGTTGCCTTGCAAAGCAGTCATTATATTTTACCTTGGTACCTTTATTTTGAGTTTGTGGCCTTGTATAAGGGAATGAAGGAAGTATTATTGATGTTATCCATAGTAAACCGAAATCTCGAAGTAAGTATTACTCCCTCCTTTTCAAATTATAAGATGTTTTAGATATTATTGCAACATGGGCTACATACGGATAAAAATGAGTGAACATACACACTAAAATGCGTTTAGATGCATACGAATCTGAGAAAATAGAGAAAAGCTAAAACACCCTATATTTAGGGACGGAGGAGTAGAACCTATATATCTGGATAGATGAAGTATAGCAGGATAGAAGTTGTACGAATTTTGAACGGAGCTCGCTTAGGACTTATAGGATTCTAACATGGGAGAGATGGAAGTCACATGCTGGGTCAACAGATCATGTAGCAACGAAGTATCAAATTGAGATCTGTTGAATATTTTTCCACCAAAGAATATGCATCTAAATACATACAGAATTGTAGTGTACATTGATTATAAATTCATATCACAGCTCACATAGCCCAACATGAAACAAAGGAAGATATTTTACCAAGTGGCTTCTCACATTTTTACCGTAGAAACATCAAGAAACAGACCAAGATAACATCACATGACATAAAAAAATTATAGTGCACATTAGTAACATGTGCATTTCTTGGCGCCCCAAAAAAAATAACATGCACAATTGAAGCAAAAACTGCAACAAAAACATGTACACATCATGTGTTGAAGTAGAAACAATATTCAAGATAGACAAATAAAACTGAGCACAAATTTAAGTGCATTAACACTTGAAGAAGACAATTTAGTTTTCACATCGAAACAGTACATACTGAGGAGCTACTTTGAGCTATTGAGAGTCAATACGTGCAATTGAGTCCCACCCAATTGTACATGTGCACATTGTATTACTTCAGTATTTAAAATTTCAACCACATGGCCACACCATATGGCTTTCACAATACTAGGTGGAACCTTTGAAGATGACTTGAGTCATAGAGGAGTAACTTCCTACTTATTTTTTTGGCGGGTCCATATGTGCATGTAGGTTCCACGAGTCGGGAGATGCACTAATTTTATTTGATTCTTTGATAACAATAATAATTTGGTTTGGTCATATTTTGACTCACTAGAATTGAATTTGAATTTTACGTTTCTAATTCTCTTGGTAGCCAAATACTCATACTTGTATAATTCAATTTCAACTCTTGAATTATGTCCCAATTCGTGGGAGCCAAACAAGGTGTTAGCTCCATGTATGAGCGAGAAGGATGCTAACCCTGGTGGGGTTGGTGGCACCTTATGAGTGACCAGATTTATGGGAAAAAGTTCTTACTTGCTTCAACTATATACCTACATTTTTAAAATTGCAGCTATACAATAATAATAAAATCAATAATCAAATGCAATATTAGTTTTACTTTTCATATTGTCAATCCACATATTCTTGTTCCATACAAACAATATTGAAATTTATTACAACCAATTCACGCAGCAATGCGCGAGTCATTATATCTGGATAACTAAACATTATTCATCAATTGAGATACTGCAAGTCTTGAAGCAGGGAAGACAGTAAAAGCAGAGATCTTATTCTTGGGTGCATATGGTTTATTGGCTAGTCCCAACAAGAGCCATGATGAAGGTCTTGAAGTCACCGGAGGTTTCCTTGGCGATGGCTTGCTCCAAGGCAACCGACGCCCTCTTGTGGAACTCGTCTTTGATGCCCCTGAGGTCCTTCTCCGCGTGCATCACCACCACCCGGAGCAGGCTCTCCTCGTCGCTCCCCGACTTGTGCATCGCGCTCCTCAGGACCTTGGCGAAGTACTTGTCTGTGTCGGCGATGCACCTCGCCGCGGTCCGCAGCACGCGCGCGTAGCCCGTCGGATCGGACCCATGCAGCAGGGCCTAGCCGATGGATGATACAGATGGCATTACTGACCACACCATCGCCTAATAATAAACTGATCCAAAGCCTGAAGAAATTTAGCAGAATTTTGGTTATGTATGGGCGGTGACCGGACCTTGGTGACGGTGGTGCCGTGCTCATCTCTGAAGCAGTTGAACGTGGCGCCGAGCTGGGCTCTGCTCCTGGAGCCCAGAACCCTGATGAGCTCCCCGTGATCCGCCGTGACGCCGTTTTTCACGTCCGCTTGAATGATCTTCGCTTCCGATCTCGCTAGCCCGCCGTCCACCTCGTCGCCGTCGTACCTGTAGGTGCTCACCAGAGCGACCAAGAGCTGAACACAGCAGAGACAGAGACCGCCATTAGTCTGCAGAACAGAGGTTTCGTGTGGCACGAACTCTAGTGGTAACCATCATACATCACGGAGGTTTCCCGTGGCACCAGCGGCGACGTTTTCCTCGAGCGAGCGCTTGTAGATGGCGTGGTAGGCCCGCTTCACTTCCAGGAGCTCGGCGGGCGAGTTGGCGCACGCGATCTCCACGATCACGGGGTACTCCTCGTCGATGCATTTCGTGGCGGCGTTGGCGATCACGGCCTGCCTCTCCGCGGGGTCGAGCACCCAGTAGCCCATCGCCGTCTGCGATCACCAAGCTCGCTCGCTGGTTCATTCAGAAAATAAAACTGGAAGCTCTGAACGTTAGTGTTCTCTGGAGATGTCATGTCACCTGAAGATCGCCGGAGAGTTCTGACTCGAGCCGGTCGGTGAGGCGCTCGTTGTATTTCTCTTCGTACGCCAGCCGGATCAGCTTCCTCTGCGCTGCGTCCCGGTGAGCTAGTATGTAGATCACTGCCTGCTCGTCAGTGCCCCATCCTGTACCACAAAAATGTTGCAAAAATCACTACACATATATATGTTCCAAGAAACAAATGCAAAGGGAAATGATTATGTTTTTCTTACATAAACACAAATTTCGAGGTTATGAGCAAGATTCTGGGCCTAATAGACTAGAATAAATCGATAAACCAAAACAGTGAGGTAAATTCCGGGGATAATATAACAACCTTGGAAGGCCTTCATGAGCGCCTCAGCATCTTCAACCGGAGAAGGGACAACTTGAGGAACTGTGATCGTGGCCATCGCTCTGGTTCTTCTCCTGCAAATCTGATTTTCACCAGCACGCATACTCCGTTGGCATTTATATGGAGGCGATCTCTGAAACCACCAAAATAAGAGTTAGTGAGCGTAAAAGACCGTGGGCGAAACCGATTGGTAATTCAACGTTACTGTTGGCTTACTAAGTGTTAACCATTGACGACTGTATGTTACAGTTATAGCTGGTCTTTACGGTTCTGAAAAGAAGAAAAAAGGTGTCAGAAAAAGAGCACTTAATTCACACATCGAAGGAACGAGACTAGTCATTCCTAGTGCTCTGAGAATGAGATGTACTCCCTCGGTCGGAAATACTTGCTGAAGTAGATGAAAAACGACGCGACACAATAATTAATGTGAAGAGAGAGCACTTTAATGACACATAAAGAAACGATGTCAAGCAGGTATATATATGAAAAACAGCCATGTATGGAAAAGTTTGGTTGCTAAACAATTCCTTTATTTGAAAGAAGCTAAGCACCGATGCATCAAGGACTTAAGTTGCTAAATCTTTTTATGCACTTGGCACCTCATCTAACACCTATGCACCTGGAGAGACAAGACTTTTCAGTAGAGAAATGATACCAGCGGGAGAGAGAACCCTACGAAGCTTATTTTATAAATAAAATGCCCACTACTTTTATTTCTCTCAATATGCATGGCAAATGTTACTCATACTATTTGTCTAACTTGTCACTTCATCAACCCCATTATTTTTGTTTCTTTCAACGTGCATGAGAAATACTACTTACTTCCTCCGTCCCATAATATAAGAACATTTTTGACATTAGTGTAGTGTCAAAAATGTTCTTATATTATGGGACGGAGGGAGTATATTCTATACGTATGTTGCAACTCTAAAATAATAATAAAAATAAATCATATGTATTCAGTTTTCATTCTCATATTCAAATTTCAAACATCCAATTCCACTAAAATCCCGCAGCAACGCACAAGGTATCATCTAGTCATATAAGATTTGTTGAACGAGCGAGAATTTTTGCTCCTGGGCTCCAGAGTCTGAAATTATCAAAATTTTGTAAATCAAAATTTTAAGTTTTAATTGTGAAAACAAATACACACATACCTTAAGATGGATCCTACATTTGTGTAAAATTTCATGATGAAATACGTTTGGATGTGAGCTACACAAAATATAAAATTATGTACTTTTATAGTGAATGTACACTTGCTAGAAATACATGTTTTTGTATAGCTCACATCAAATGTATTTCGCCATCAGGCTTTACAAACAGGTAGTATACATCCATATGTATGTGTATGTTTTCTCTAGCTTTTTTTTGGATGCCGATAAGTCCTGAACTTTGAGGATTTGACCGTGGCAGACCGAACATTTTTTGTGGCATTTTATATTTGTTGGCCATGGCAAATCTGCCCCCAGTTTGTTTTTTGCGAGGAAATTGTCATGCTTGCCAACTAAACTTGTCACCCCCCACGTCAACTAAAATTGCCATAAAAAGATCGATTTGCCGTGGTAAAAAAATCCAACGTTCAAATTTTATCATTTCCTTTTCTAAAACATAGAATTCAGTTTCTTTTTCGATTTTTAAAAATCTAGGCTCCATGGAGCCCGGGAGACAAATACAATTTATGTTCCTGAGCAACAAAGGGGAGAACTGGAGAGGAGATTGTGAAGGGGAACACTCGATCAAATAGGACGCATTTGGTTGTGTGCATCATTTTTGGGCACTTTGCATACTTGTCCTAATTGGTCCCGTTTGAGCAATGCACGCAAAAAACCATTATCTACATGTTGATTGGTTGCCGGCATTGCACCAGTGCCCCGACTAGGACATGTTGTTTGGTTGCCTGCGTTTGTGATTCAGGGGTGAGTAGATGCAACGCACATCTGTTTTGGTGCATGCAATTAGTTGTTCTTCTCACCCCTTTCAAATTTTATGACCTTACCGCCCCTCTTGCAGCACTTTGCAGCAAGGAAAACATAAGAATAGCAGAACAGATAACATAAGAACAACACAAGACATCACATAAGAACAACACGACATAAGAACAAGCAAGGCACAATACTACCAGGGCTTAAGTTTAAGAAAACAAGGCATTCCATGCCACTGCAGGACCCCAGGGTGTTGACCCCTCGCCAAAATATACAGCTTAACAACAAAGTTTGGACCAACAAAGTTCTGACAAACTAACTTAGTTCAGACGATCAAGACAGGCGCAACAAACTAGAGGGCATGGCTGATGTTGACGACGCATCTGTGCTTCGAGCATCTAACCCTACAAATGTTGGAGGTGTTGGCATTGTAGATTTGCACCTTCAAGACCAGCTCGAAGAGCGGCAGGACGATCAGGTCGCCTGGGACGATCTTGTGACGCTGGTAGAAGTACTCCCAGCCCCTCCCGAGCACCATATACCCCTTGAACGTCTACACCTACACCCAGAACTCACACCACTTGTTGGCAGAGAGGATGACGACGCGAGGAGGGTTGACAACCAACCATTTCTTTATCACCAGCCTAAAGGCAGCTGGGATGACCAACATGGCGATGTCCTCCCAATCCTTGATTTGCACGTAGAACCTGGTCGACTCCCATGAACCCTCCTCGTGGCCGATCCTCAGCCTCTTTCCATCACCCAACTATCGGAATCAGGGCTCCACAGACCCTAGAAAGGTTCGAACTCTGGGGCGTGTGCGAAGAACTCAACCTCTCCAGCCGACCGATTCGTCACCCCCACGACCTAGCTCGGCAAACAAACAAGAAGATGGACACATGAAAGTGCAATCATGCCCTAAATATTATTTTGATGTTGATGACAATATACTCATAGGGGACAAACAAAGTTTGTCAAGTATATCTCAGGTTTTAGTCCCCTCGGAATCAATTATGTGTGTGGATTATGACTTCGGAAATGTTTAACCTCATCAAGAATGAAGAAACAAGACTATCTTTATGTTTATTCTTGAGTATAGGATCCCGCACTATTAAGAGGGGACATGGGTTATTGCTAAAGTCTTGATCAAACAACTTCATCTCTGTCGGACGACCAGTACTCACCGGACGTCCGACCGCTTCCATATAGAGCCAAAACATCGGTCGTCTGGTGTGCACCGGACGTCCAGCAAATCCGATCCAGAACCAAAACATCGGTCGTCCGGTCCCTGTCAGACGTCTGTTGTCTGCAGAGCCCCCGGTCGTCCGATATTCCTCAGTCGTCCGGCACTTTCTCCACAGAGCCTAAACATCTGTCGTCCGGATCCTCCGGTCGTCCGGTACCCACTAGACCGTGCCAAAACATTGAACGTTCGGTCCTTGTCAGACGTCCGATGTCTGTCATGCCCTCGGTTGTGCAATGTGCATCGGACGTCCGACGCTTCTGTGTTGTTTTGGGCTCCAACGGCCACTTATTGAGGCATACTATAAATATCTCTCTCCTATCCCATGAGAAAGTTGACCATTCACTTCAAGCATCCTCAAGAACACATTTTCACTCTCTATCTCACACTCCAACACCAAATCTTAGACCCCTAAGGGATTTGAGATCATTTGAGTGAAGTTGTCCACCCAAGTGATAGATCCACTCCTTCCCCTTCTTTGCACCAAAGGAATTCGTGATTTGAGCAAGTATTGAGCTTTTCCCATCGTTCTTGTTACTCTTGGAGGTTGGAGACTCCTAGCGGTAGGAGTCATTCGGAGAGGAATCATTCTTTGTGATTACCCCCAAAAAGTTTGTGAGGGTTTGGAGACCACCTCAAGGTCTACCACTAGTGGTTGAGAAACGCCTTCATGGTGTTGTCTCAAAGGGAGAATAGGGTGAGCTTTCGTGGCATTGGTGTGCCTTCGTGGTAACACCCACCTCTCTAACGGTGACGTAGCTTCCCTCCGAGCAAGTGAACATCGGCATACATCCTCGTCTCCCGGAGTTGTGGTTATCCCTAACCCTAACTCCCTACTTGTGGTTACTTGTCTCTTAGTCTTTACTTATATCATATTGTGTTTACTTATTCTCCTACTTGTGTTACTTGTTTACCTTGCTTAGCTCATAGCTTCACACTTGCAATTGTTAGGCTCAACTTCATATTCCTCATTAGTGCCTAAAAATGCTAAGTAACAATTAAAAGTTGTAATTGTACTTATTCACCCCCATCTAGGTGCATCTCAATCCTTTCAATTGGTATCAGAGCCTCGTGCTCTATTCTTGCGGCTTAACTGCCCTAGAGCAAGATGAGCCCTGATGGGACTCCCCCTGTTGCAGATCCGAAGAGTACAGGCGCGGATTCCATGGAAGCCAAGTCCTTCACTTCAAAGGATCCGGAACAAGCTCTTGCTAAGCAAAAGGAGGAGCATGATGCCTCTCTTGAGGCCTTGGCCCAAATGAGGATAGCCACACTAACCATGATGCTTGCGCCACTTTCTGGCAGTGCGGCCTCGAGGCCAGCTGTGCATACTCCCTCACTTGGACAAAAACCTCCTAGTAATGAACACTTCAGTGTTCCTTGGCTGTGTGCAAGACCTCAAATAGAGAAACCTAATTATAACCCTCAAGGCAAACCTCCTTTACTTGATGACACTACCGATTTTGCTTTCTGGAGAGTTGCTATGGAGGATCATCTTCGATATGGAAATGATGAGATGTTGGAGATCTTGGAGTATGGCTACCAAGCTGTTGACCTGAAAAATCTTACTCCAAGAGAGGTTTATGACAAGAATATCAACGACACAGCAACCATGTGCATAAGAAGAGGTATGACTGACAAGCAAAGGAGACCATACATACATATCACAGGTGCCAAGGAATTATGGGATAGCATTCTGAGGACCAAGACCGGTACTTCCACTCTCCGGCTTGCTCAATATGAAATTGCCAAGGGTCAATTGCAAAACTTTTGTATCAAGAAAGGTGAATCTCCCAAGCAACTACTTGAGAATCTCATGACTCTCACCGCCGACATTGAGTCATGTGAATGTGACAAGACTCAAGATGGATTCAACTTGACTAAGCGATT